GTGAGCACGTTCACTGTAGGTCGTGGAGTCGAGGAAGAATGGTAACCATTACCGGCAGCCTGAAGAAGATCACATTATCAAATATTATGTTTTTTCTAATTTCCGCTAGAAATATATTTCTTAGTGTAAAAATTAACTTACTATATTTTTTTGCCGATGTTCTTCTTCAGGATTAGGCGTCGTTTCATCATCATGGTTGAACAGATTGTCAGTAACAGTCGGGTTCCTGTAAAATGTCAGTCAATAAGCAGATGTATTGCTTCACAAAATGGCATTATGAGTTGTCTTGTATTTTCTATGTAACAAAGACCAATTGGTTTCTTTTCACTACATTGATAAAGATACTCCTACGCGGTTTTCATCAATCCAAGCAAAACATCGATACGTTAACATGATACAAAATATGCACTTACCTTATATAAAATATAGCCACAAGAGTTGCAGCTACGAGAAGAACGATACCGGCAAAAGTAGGGATGGCCACCTTCGGTGCGAGCAAGCTCTTGATATCAGGCATTTTAGCGAATTAACTGCAATAATTAAGAACTATATATACAGAAAGAACCGTCCGGAAGAAAGCGTAGCTCAATTTGAGAGGTATGCTAGAATTTGTACAGGAATGCTTGCTAAAAACCAAAGAAAATTTTCGAACATAAAGAAAACTTGAAGCTTTATATAACGATACAGGAGCCTCACCTAAGGTGTAATGAGCGAAGCAAACTCAAGATATTCATTTCGTAAATGGAAGGAGCATACTAATACGTATAATCGCAAGTCCTTGATCCGATGACGGAGTTGTTAAATCCAGCATATTCCGATTGTGACGTCTGTAACGACCTGAACATAGCAACGAGTGGATTTTAAAATAAGCACCAGTAACGGCAAAGTATAACGTTTTTCCTGTACGATTATGAAATTAGCTTTCTCTTTGCAGAAAAAAACATGTATTTAGGTTCCATAGTCTAAAGATTTGATGAAAGTAAATACGTTTTAATTTTTTTTCGAGCTAATTGATCAAAAATTGCTTATCGATTATTGGAGTGCAGACATAAGCGAGTGTTTTGTCTCGGATATTACGTACGTGGTTCACTTACTTCGCCCTGTCATTTATGACGGAATTCCCTCATTGTATTCTTCCTGAACACACAGTACACTAGCTGTTTCGCAAGAAGAAAAGCAAAATGCGTCAGCAGCATCAGAATCCTTGTATGATTCAAAAGCACAGCACTATTAGTAGCATTTGGTAACAAGAATGGTCGCACGAAAAAAGAAGAACTATGGAATGCAGATAATGAGTCATTTGCTTCGACGAAATGTTCTGCCATGTACGCTTAGAGGGCCCATGCCTGAGTGATCCCAATGCTGTTCAGCCATAAAAAAAGGCCCGTAAATTCGTAAGGTAAACGAAATCTAAAGGATTTTCCCATCTTTCAGGCATAATGACCCGATGTTTTTTTCGCCATTCCAGATCCAACTCTGACCTGCTCAAACACATACTGATTTTGCTGAACTGTTGATTTGAAACCCGTTTAATCGTCTTTGATGTGAAGTAGTGATACTAAAGAATTGTAAGCTTTGAAACAAAAAGAAAACACTTTTCAAAACATGTTGTTCTATAATAATCCAGGATGCAAGATGTCTCAAACATTGTAGAAGACAGTACAGAGCGAATATGATGTTAAATACTAAGGCGAAGAAAATATGGTGAAATGG